ATATGCAACCGTCACCGGAAGAAATGCGACAGAAAGTCTGATTTTCCTTCAGGCGCTTCCATTGAATCCATCCTTTCTGAAATATTGCATTGATATGATAGAACTCCATAAAATAACTTACAACCGCCACCACGTCCTTCGGGTTATACAATTTGAGTGATAGGTTAACAACTGCTGTAAAAGCAGATATAGAAGTGCATTCCCTCAGACTAGGTGAAGAAAAAATCGCTTTGAATTTTCTTTGTTTCCCAACAAGAATTGCCATAAGAAACGGCTTACTTGTAATGTTTGTATGTGTTTAAAAGAACCATGGGTGCTAACTTAGTTGGGGGGGGGGCACGCGGCGGCGCGGCAGTCTGCTCGCCTGGCATGTTCGGAAATCCGTGGAGCCAGGGGGAGTGTAGGCAGTCTAGGGGGGTGGGGGTGGGGCAGTCACTTGACATGCGTGAAAAGCTGGAATGTTCGAGTTTACACTGTCTCGCTCGAGAGAGCCCAGGTGAGCAGACTGCCGCGCCGCCGCGTGGTCCCCCCCCAACTAAGTTAGCACCACAATATGTTCCCTTCAGCCACGTATTTGAGGTTATGACGCCAGAACGTGTCTTTTAAGGAGAAGTTTTCGAAAGTGGTGCACTGGACCTTCGGCATGACGTCACCGGAAAAGTGCTGTCTATCGGTCTAGGCGCAGGATACATCAACACATTTCTGCACTACCACTTTCCTAAAGTAAGTGCAGCTTTCGGTGCTAACTTGGGAGGGGTCAACGCGGCGCCCAGGTCCTCTGTATTTCTAAGGCTTGGTCTGCGGTGCCACTGTATTTCGAGACTGCTGCTGTGCAGGGAAATGGTGGCGACTCCTATAATTCAGCCATAGAGAGACAGATGAACAATGCGCTGCGCTGCCGTGGGCCCCCCCCCCAACTAAGTTAGCACTCAGTTTCTTAATGATTACAGTTGCAAAGCAAAAATCAAATCGAATTTTGTAGCTGAACATAACAGTGGTCGAGTTGGATCCGAAAATGCTGGAAATCGCCCAGAAATGGTATGGTTTGGAAGTGGAC